ATTATTCATCGTTAAGAAGGAAGTAAATTCTGACACAGGCTACAACATTGATGAACCTTGAGGGCATTATGCTAAGTGAAATAAGCCAGGTACAAATATACTCAATACTGCATGATTCTATTTACACGAGGTATCTAAGTCATCAAATTCATAGACACTGAAGTTAGAATGGTGGTTTACAGGGGCTGGGCGTAGGAAAGAGGGGCGAGTGAGTATTTAGTGGGATAGAATTTTAGTTTGGCAAGGTGGAAAGAGTTCTAGGGATGGATAGCAGTGATGGTTGCTGTTATGTAAATGCATCTAATACCACGGAACTGCACACTAAAAATGGTTGTGATGGTAAATTTTGTTATGTGTAAGTCACCATAGTTAAAAACAAAATTTTTTAAATGTGAATTTGAATGTATCCACACAGAGCTTACACTTTCCAATTCCCCAAGAAAACTCCTATGTTTTGCGATCAGTTTCACATGTTTACCTTACCTGCCTGGCTCCATATGCATTCAAATGTGGGAGCCTTGGGAAACACATTTAACCTTTTTGACTCTCAGATATTTTCCTAAATATAAAAACCCCTTTCTACCTCATCATGGATGGAGGAGTAGATGAGCTGTGCGTGGAAGCATTTGTGAACAGAAGCCGTCACCCCGTGGAACAGATCAAAGCATGTTTCAGTGTGTGGGTTAGTGGCATCTTCACATACACTGCATACCTGAGAAGGCAAAATGGTGACAGTGTAGGGAAATTAAAATTAAATGATCTCATGCTTTTTCCCCCTTAAAATATTTTCGGTTAGGGCAGGGAGTGGGGAGTGAAGTAAATAACTTCGAGACATGTCACCCTTTGTGTAGAAAACTCAGTTTTCTGACCTTGTTCTTTTTGTAAAGGTACATGGTACAACAGTGTCTTTCCTGAGAGTTAGATTTGCCACCTCAATTCAGTGACGTAATCTAACAAACGTCAGTCCAGCAGCCGTGAAGGGGGAGGCGCGAGGCAGGGGGATCAAGCAGAGGCGGTTCCTGCCGTCCAGGAGCTGACCCACAGCCTGGGCTCCAACGGCTGTTCCTTTGGGTGGTTATTCTATGTAGCAGGGACAGTTTTCACCTCCTTTCCTGCTCCCCGTATGAGAGACCCTACAAAGACAGCTGGTTTTGCTAAATGTCCTTCTTCCTCCTCCCCTACTCAACCCCGTCTGTCTGTCTTTCCTTCCTACCGTCCAACCATTACTTACTGAGCATTTATTAGAGCCAGGTACCATCTGGATTGGGAGGGCACTATGGCTAAAGTCCTTGACCTTGTGCTACTAACGTTCTGGTAGAGAAGATTCCCTCCGTCGCCAGAATTCTATGTGCTTTAACTACAGAGCTCTGAAAGAGAAAATCTGTCTTTTAGTAACATCCTTGAAGAAAGTAGATTATATAAATCTGTTAATACACTGGGGCATTGTTTGAATCTGACTTATGAAACAGGCAACAAAAATATTTGGGCCTTACAAATACCTTAAGGATATTTATAGCGTTCCTTTCTTGTGCACAGTGCCAAACACCTCAAGATTTATGTGATATAGAGAGGGAAAAATCATCCTCATATGATAGATACGGAAAACAACAAATTAAAAAAACACAAGTGACAGATCCCTGGAGGACTGTCCACTAGAGGACCCTTGTCAAGCAGTAACCCACCGGGGTCATTGCACTTAATGTTTTGGTCAAGAATTTGATTAAGTGGATCCTATAAATGATTCAAAATCTTTCTGAGTGTCTGGAAATAGAAGAAAAAAAAACAAAAACTTGACCGCTGCAACACGGGGACAAAGCCAATGAACACTCTCAGAGCAACAGGTCTTTTCTCACAAGGGAAGAGAATTGTGCGGAGGTTTAAACACGGCGAGCCCAGCTGCTGTGTAAGAGGATGTTATTCACTCGAAGATGCTAGAAGTTTGAGCTCTGTGTTTCCTTTCCTTGAGGGCAAGGAAAAAGAAGAAAAAAGTTTGGGCGATGAAGCCATGCCTACACTTTGAAACTGCGGTTTTATGATGAAACACTTAGACTACTGAAATAACCCCTGAAAGGATCTAGGGCGCACCAGCTGTTCATTCGCAGCCCTTCAGCTCCAAATCCACACGTCATAGCCCTGCCTGTGATGCTGGGGCTGGGTCCTGTGGACGCCGGTCCACTGCTGGGTGGCGCAGTGCCGCGCTGTCAGGGGGATGCGGCAGGAGCCGGTCGGGACGAGGGGACCTCTCTTCCTGATTCTGGCGTGTTTTCCTTTTCCTGTTCCTGCAGCATGTAAGGTGTGCTTTGGCACTCACCTGAGTGAGTTCAGCAGTACCCTTGCAGGATGTCACCAGAAGGTTCTGCCAGAGCTCCAGCCAGCTTCCTAGAGAGCACACTGCCCCCAGCAGCAGCTTCCTGACAAATTGGCTGGTGTCCCAGCTGGACCCCAGAGGTGGCTCATAGAGTTTTCTCAGCGCCTCCCTGAACTTCTCTGCTAGCCAGGGGGCTACAGCGAAACCTTCAGTAAGGCCTGAATCTCCTCTTCCAAATGTGTTTCTTCCTTGCGAAGCCTGTCTCAGTCCTGGGCAGTAGCTGCACCTTATATCTGTTCTTCCTGTAATCTTGGGAGTTGCTTACCCCCTCATAGCAACTAATCTTCTGATCCTCACTAATAGCTCTTTATACTGGTGATTTCTGTTTTCTGACTGGACCTTGATTAATATACTGATATCCAATAGAATTGTGTATTTATGGTCACCAAAAGCTATGTATAAGAAATTTCAAGTAGCACCATTCATAATAGCCAAACGCTCCATCAACAGAAGAGACAAATAAATTGTGGTATATTCATACAAGGGAATGCTATACAGCAATGACAATAAATGAACTACAAATACATGCAACCACATAGATGAACCAACAAACAAAATGTTGAGTGAAAGGAGCAGAAAACAAAGAAAATATTCCGTATGATTCCGTTTATGTAAAGTCCAAAAACAGACAAAACTAATCTCTGGTGCTAGAAAGTAAGAAAGGTAGTTATTCCTCGAGGGGATTAATGATTAGAAGGGAGAACAGGGAGCTTCTCAGATGCTGCTAATGTTCTGTTTCCTGGCCGGGGTACTGGTTCTGTGTCATTGTTTATGGAAATTCATTGCCAGTGCATTTCTGATGTTTGCATTTTTGAAGTTCATTGGGATAAAAACTATTACATATTTATTGAATTTATGAGGTGTGAATTATCTTATTCAAATAAGAAGTCAAGCTCATTTACTTCCTCAACAACAACAACAAAAAGTACATATGACATGCCAGTCAGTGTATTTCATGCTAAGGACCTAGAGATGAATTAGTTATTCTTGGTTCCTGTGTGCAAAGAGGCATAGCGTAGAAGGGGAGGAAGACTGACATGAAAACAGGTAACTACAATGCAACGTGATTACTGGAATGGTTTGGGGATGGATGGGAGTGCTGGAGATATAGAGGAGGGAGCTGCCAAGGGTGCATCGAAAAGCTACACGCAGAAAGCTTATGTGAGCAGCAAGTTCCCTTCAACATCACATTGTTGAAGATGTCCAATAAGCGGATGGAAATGTTGATTTAAGACATGAGGGAGTTTGGGGCTGTGTATATACATACGTGCAGGATCACAGTTCCATGGTGATGGCTGAAGTTATGGAGGTGAGGTCACCAGTAGAATGTGTTCAGGGCAATAAGAGTTGGGAAGAAATCATGGAACTTTGGAAGGGGAATTCAGTGGGCAGAGGAGGAAAAGCCTGCAAAGAACTAAAAAAGGTTAAGTCGGAGAAACAGAAAGAGGAGTGTTGTGTCTTATAAAGAGCGGGACAAGAGAATATCAGAAGGACTGAGCTTTTATTGTCAAAAGCCATTTGCAAGATCAAGTAAGTCTGTGGTACAGTAAGTTCTCACTGAACATCATCGATAGGTTCTTGGAAACTGTGACTTGAAGTGCAACAATGAAAGCAATTTTGCCATAGGCTAATTGATAAACGCAAGAGTTCAGTTCTAATGGCATTCATCATTATAACTAAATGACGTTGAATGGAATAACATTATTCAAGGACCTGCTGTATATGATTTTGACAATTGGGAGGTCAGTAGAATTCTGAAAGAAACTACTTTAAAAAAATCTGGCTTTGATCAGAGTGAAAAAACAAAGACTATGAGGATAGGTTACTCTCTAAAAATATTTGGTGGTAAAGTGAAGGAGAAAAATATATTTGTTTGAGCATGATTGCAGGCTAAGAGGAAAGAGGAGTCTAATGAAATGTTGGGTGGCAGGAGGTTCCTGAGCCAATGGGAGGGGTGGGGTAGAGAAGTCTCCAGAGTCAACTGTTTTATGTGTCTTCTATTCAAAGTGTGGCCCACAGACCGGTTGCCTCGGCAGCACCCGGGAGCTTGTCAGAAATGAAGAATCCCAGGGCAAACTGCAGCTGTAGTGAACCAGAAGCCACATTTTAACAAGATCCCCAGGTGACCATAGCCTGTAACCCTCACAACAAGCGGAAACGTTGGCATTACTGCTCCCATTTTTACCAATGATGAGACTAAGACTCAAAGAAGTTGCTTGAGATAGCAGAACTGATTAGTAGCTGAGCCAAGATTCAATCCCAGAACTTTCTGTGTCCAATGTTCTTTCCAAAAGATAGAAAAATACGGTCAGAGGAATTTATACTTTCACTTGGTTCAGAATTGTTCAGATGGTAGACCGCCCCAGCGATAAATCACAGATCTGCAGCACTAGTGCCACCAGCGGTGTTTGTTGAGACAGTAATGCACGAATCCCCCTCTGAACCCTTAGTAACCTAGCAAGAAACAACCTCGACCAGGTTGGAACTTCACTTCCCAGCAAGCCTCGCGGCTACCTATCGCGCGAGGCATGACGGTCACCTCGCCCTTCTCCCTTCTGTGGTGGAGCGGCCCAGCAGAAGCGGGACACGTCCCAGCCTGACGTAAGCGCGCGGCATCCTGGGATATGTAGTCTGGCAGAGACTAGGACGCCCCCCCGGATGAATGGGGCCGGGGCTGACCGCGAACTACAGCTCCTCGGCCCGCAGCGTTGGTGGTGGCCGCCGGGGAAGGGGAGACTGCGGCGGCCCCGGGGAAGAGTTCCGTTCTGGGAAGGTGGCGATGTTCTGTGCCGTGGCCGAGGCAGCAGCTCGGCTTCCTGGGGTAGCGGTATAGGCGGGCGCTTCCTCTGCGCGCTCGACCCCCTTCCCCTGCACCGGCATGCGCCCGCTCTGCGCTGTGGGCCTGGTTTTCGCAGGCTGCTGCAGTAACGTGATCTTCCTAGAGCTCTTGGTCAGGTGAGTGACCCCCGCGGGCTGCACCCGGTTCCCCGAGGTGCACTGAGAAAGCCGGAGGAGAGGCGTCCCCGTGCCTCCTTCCCCCTCGCGTCCCCCCTCACCGCGCCGGGGCGGAGGCGGGGGTGGGACAGCGCGAGCCAGAGGCCGTGGGGCTCTTTCCTGTCTGGGACCCCGCTGAGTCGGTCACTCCTTCCGCCCGCGCACCGTCGGTTTTCCCGCCCAATAGTTTCACAGCATCTTCCGAGGGAACACTTAGGGTGTTGCTGTCGTCACCCCTTTTTCACGCTCTGGGAGATTGAATCCGGAGGATTTCCCACGTGACTGGCCTCAGGTCGTCAGGGAGCTCGTGGCAGACCCCGAGGTTCCTTCAGCTCTTTTTTTCCTTCCTGGTAATAATGCCACGTTTGCCTTGAGCAAAGCTTTTCGATTTTTAAGGCAGCCTGATTTTGTACACGCTGCAATGAAAGTTTCCTGTGTAGTCAAGTGGCCCGCAGATCGGTGGGCATCAATGAGTACTTGTTCCAAACATTGCCCCTCAGTGATGGAATAGACTCGATTCTTGTTTTTATGTGTAAGGTCTGCGTCATTGACTCAAGAGAGCATTTCCAGCTTTAAGACTCATATTGGTTGGTCTTTAAACCGGGAAGCATCTATTTGGAGATGTAACTTTATAAATTAAGATTGGGAGTGAGGGCATGGATTAAAAAAAAAAAAAAGCTCTGGAACATTTACACAGTGGAATGTCACTCGGTTGTAAATAAGGAGAAAATCCTGACTTTTGTGACAGCATGGATGGACCTGGAGATTATTACGCTGAGTGAAATAAGCCAGTCAGAGGAAGACAAATACCATATGATCTCACTTATATGTGGACTCTAATGAACAAAATAATTAAAATAGAAACAGAATCATAGATACATAGAACAGACTGACAGCTGTTGGAGGGGTGGGTGCTTGGAGGGCTGGGCAAAAATAGGTGAAAAGATTAAAAAAAAAAATAGTGCACGTACATGACACATAGCCCTGGGGACCGAAAAGCACTTGGCTTTGGGTGGTGAGCGCAGGATGTAGTACGCAGATGATATTTTACTGAGTTGTACACTACAATGCCACCCCAATAGATTCAGTTTAGAAATCGGGGGGCGGAGGGAGGGCAGAACGCATTCAGGGGGTGATGAATGGACGCTGGACTTTTGGTGGCGAACAACAGGGTTTTAGAAACAGATGTCAAATTCTGGTGTTGCACACCTGAAACTTACATAATGTTATAAATCAATGTTCAAAAAAAAAGAAGAAGAAAACAATGGCTAGGAACATTACCAAAGGGAGACAAGGTTAGTTATATTGCGATGGTGTGCAAATAATGTTGAGTAATAATGTGCAAAGTTCAGTGGGTAGAAAGTGTTACAGAAAAGGCCACAGGTGTCCTGGAAAGGGCTCGGGACTAAAAAATCTCAAAATTATGAACTTCGTTCTTGGCTTTGTCGTCCCCTGGCTGTGTTATGTGACCTTTTCAGATCATTTAGCCTCCCTGGGCCTCCTTTTTCCTCTGGAAGGTGCTATCTGTGGTGCTCTCTACCACGGTGTTTCTGAACCTGCGCTGTATCTCCATTCACTGTCAGAACAGTCTGTGTACAAGAAGTAGAATTTCTGTTTGACGGTGAAGCAGGTCTCAAGACATTAGATGGTCTTTTAGTACTTGTAAGTGGCGGAGGTAGACCGGGAATCTAGGATACCTGAACTCCTAGTCCAATACCGTTTTCAGCCTCCCTCTTCATTTTGAACTTGAGCAGCCTAAAGGTTTTTTTGGTCACCCAGTTCCTCATGTGGTGCCTACTAGAAATGTATTTTATTTTCCTGATACTGCTGGTTAAGTCATTCTGAAGCAATCAGCTTATTTAGGGGTAAGCTTTGTATGGGGTTAATTTTTGCAGTTACTGAGCTTGAAATTGTGTTATGCAGAAAAGGTTGCTTGAGATCTGTCATTTGTCGTTCTTAAGTAGGTGGTGAGAGATATGGAACAAAATAGATCCTGCTGTGAGCTGGTACATTTCAAAAGAAAGATTTGGAAATTGATTTTAAAATAGAAAAAGTGTGATGAAATCGGGCCAGCCAAATACAGGGGTCATATTTGTGTTGACTATGCCATTAGATTAAACCTTGTCAAAGGCTAGTGATGTCAGTCTCAGTTATGCTAGCAGCTGAAGGCACTCTTTACTAGTTATGCGCCATTGGCTAAATTACTTGATCTCCCAGAGTTGTCTGTTTTCTCAACAGCGAAAGGGGGTAATGGTTCTACCAGCCTCACGTGGTTTTGAGGGATTGAGATTCATGTGCAAAGCCTGAAACACACTCATAGTGGGCTTCCTCTTCTAACAACTTGTATTTCAATACGGGTCTACCTTGCTTTATGAATTTGTTCCTGGGAAGTTGTGGCTAAACCTAACTTAACTCATACAGAAATGTTTTCATGCATTACGGGAGTGTCTATTTAGAACTTTGAAATAATTTGTAAATAAATCATCCCTTATTTATCTTTTTTTGTAAGTCTGGGATTTTCATATAGCAATGGGTTTTCATAAGATGGGAGAAGCACATTATTGATTTAGTGAATGGTACACCAGACTGAATAGGAGCTTTTCCCTGATTTGCTCGGGCAATCCACAGCTTCTCGTGTTACAGATCAATACAGTAAGAGCTGGTTGGCCTGGATGGTCCTTAATGCTCTTTCTAGTTTTGCCCTTCTCAGAATTTGTGACTTTATCTTGGGCCATCACAGCTTATAACTTTTTTATAGAGCAGGAACAGTGCTTTTTATATGGCTTCCTTGGAACCTTTGGGCGCCCTAATAAGTGGCAAGTAGAACACACTATAAATATAAATGGAAATGCTACAGTGACTTGCAGGGAGAAGCGACCGTTCATAATCACTTTCCTCAAATTGGAAAACAAATGTAGGTGTTTCTTTCTGATGTTCATACCTATAACTGGGGTCTAAAATAAAACACAAAGCACAATGCAGTGTAAAGAGCAGATGCGAAGTAATGGCAGGGGATATGCAACTAAGTAGGCAAGGTGTTGTGTGTCTTACATGAAGAAAGCAACCCTAAACATTTTCGTTTTCCCACTCTTATTTCAATCAAGTGCTTGATGCTGAACGAAAGAGAAAAGTTTCCTAAATCTAGAATAAGAGATAACAAAAGGCATGCACTATCTGCCCAATTCTTTCTCTTCAAAGTTGCTTTTTTTTAAAAAATAAAAATTTGGATTCTTGCCAGAGAATGCACAGTCAGAGAAACTGTTTGCTGTTAGTGATTATAATTCCTGAGGAATGAATTTCAACAAAACAAGTGACTTAGGGGAAAAGGGTCCAAGTTTTTCCTCTGACGTTTTAAGACAAATTATTTAAATTAAAATGATTAATTCCATTGTTATCTTTACAACAGTGTGTTCCTAAAAAACTCTGTAAGTTGATATTTGAAAAATTAATAGAGTGCATTAAGCATATTTAAAAATCCTGTGGAAATTGAGCCCTGGCTGGTGTGGCTCTGGATTGAGTGCCAGTCTGCTAATGTAAAGGTCACAGGCTCGATTCCCGGTCAGGGCATATGCCTCGGTTGCGGTCCAGGTCCCCAGCTGGGGACATGTGAGAGGCAACCGTTTGATACTTCTCTCCCTCTCTTTTTCTCTCCCTCTCTTTTTCTCTCCCTTCCCCTCTCTCTAAAAAGAAATTAATAAAATCTTTAAAAAAAAAAAACCCTATGGAAATAGAGAAAATAGATGGGAGCTGTGAAGGCGGTGACAGGAAGTGACTCCTAATGGGTAAGGAGTTTCTTTCGGCGGTGTCCTAAAATTAGCTCATGGGGGTGGCTGCACAACACTAAGTGTCCTGAACGTAAAATCCCACTGAACGGTAGGGAATAACAGTGGTGGTGATGGGGTCTGCAGACACCACGTATGCGCCACGTGGCCCAGGGCCATTTGCCTGACTCAGTGCCCTGTGTGTCTTTAGCAATGGAACGGGCATAATAATACCTACCTCCCTAAAAATAAAGGTAGAACTACCGATGATTGTGATGCCTTTTAAAAATATTACCGAGAATACACTTGTACAGTGAATCATTTTTGGAAAAAAAATTGTTTCTTTCTATCTTACGTGCCGTGTTAACATTCTAGATCACGGTCGCTTCACGGGAGGCGTCCCCACGTTCATTCAGGGACTTGAGCGAGGGCCAGGCCCTGTGCCCAGAGAGTAGCAGCCCCGTCCGCTGGCCATCCCTCCGTGCCACTGGGTTCCTGGGCCTCACACCCCACGTGTGGCTCCCTCAGCTTACTGTCATCTTGAGGGCCGGGCCAGGTCTCATTCACATTGAGAGCTTCATGGCTGCGAGCCCCGTAACTGTCCTTTAGTTGAGTTGCCCAAGCTTTTGGTAAAGAGAAAATGGAAGGGAAAGCAAGGAAGCTCCAGGAGCCCCGTCTGGGCTAAGTCTTGGGCTTGGCACTTTATGTATACTTTCTCATCGAATCTTCACTAGAACGTTTAAACTGTTACCTCTGTCTTATAGGTGAAAAAAAAATAGTCAATACAAATATCTTTTAGCTGACTAGACTTTAGCTAAAGACCTGACAATAGGCAAGGTCCCACGTTTTGGTCCTAGAGTCCTAGCCTTTGCCTTTTTCCCTCCATAGCAGACGCCAGGGGATACGCTTTTCAGGGACTGGCTTATTTGCTCTGCAATAAAACCAGTGAGATAGGTGCTAATACTGTTCCTGTTTTAAAGATAAGAAAACCAGATGGAGATAGGGCAGTTAACTTCCGCAGTCACAGGGTAAGTGACAGCTGCATCCTGCAAGTCACTGTGTACTTTCAGCCACTGTGGAGCACAGCAGTTCTCAACTCTGTGTTGGCACGTAAGAATTACCCTCGCATCTTCCACACAAACACCGGCCCCCGCCCCCGCCGTTTCCCCAGACCTACACTTGTGGTTCTCAGCTCTGGCTGCACAGTAGTATCAAGTGGGAAGTGTTCAAAAGGACAGATTCGAGGGCCTTACCCCAGACAAGTCCAATCCAGACTGGGAGGGGGAGGCTCCCCCGGCACCTGGTCTTTAAAGAGGGACGTGCGCAGAGTTGCACAGAGAGCGCTGAGGACTGTCTGCCTGCTGCTCCAGTGCCGCCTCCTGTCGCCTGTATTGGGGCTAACAGTTTTAACAGCTCCTTCAATGAGGTAAACGTCTTACATGATTATTTATGGATTCCTGCAACCTTTAGCCCCGTCCCTCGAACATAAGTGTGAAAAGAAACCATTGAATTGAATACAAAGCAGTAGTTTTCAAGGAAACCTTCGTAGGCAGTAAATCCTAAAGAGTAGCAACAGTTCTGCTTCACATGGTAAGCTTAGCTCTGTACAAGGTGATCAAAGCAATGAACAAGAAAATGGCAGTAAATACATATCTGTCAACAATTGAATCTAAAAAACAAACTAGGTGAACAAGAGGAACAGAGACGGAATCATGGGTGCAGAGATTTTTGATGGACGTCAGATGGGTTGGGGGGTGTGAGGGAATGGGTGAGAGATGCGCAGATTAAGAAGTACAGACAGGTCGCTACAGAACAGTGGGGGTATAAAGCACAGTATAGGAAATGGAGCAGCCCAAGAACTGACACGCGTGACCCTGTGGACACGAACAGTGGTGTGGGGACGGCCCGAGGGAGTGGGGGTGCTGGGTGGAGGGGGGCAAAGGGGGAAAATCGGGACAACTGTAACAGCATAATCAATAAAATATAAAAAATAAATGAAATGAAAAATGAAATAAAACTGCAAAATCAAAAAACAAAATAAAAATAAAATCTCAGAAAAGAAGAAAGCCTTGTGCTTGGGGTTCTTTCTTTTTATGCTTGATGAGTGTATTTAAGAATTTGCATACTTGTCACTGCTATTTCATATTAATACCACCAACAGGATGGAGTTTTAATAAATAGCATTATATTAATACTTAGTAATATGATACCATCTCTCTAGTCACTATCTTTGGGTAAATGTCTTGGGTGAGGATGAAAATGAAGATGAAGACTGAATTTCTTAATATGGCAATGTAATATGGGGAATCTGGAAGCTTCAGGAAAACAAAGACAACTGCTCACTTTGAACTCCCTCCAGTGATGAGCAGAGCCTGATGGGGGACAAGCCCAAGAAACCCCCAGACAGTTTAAGGACCGAATTCTCAGAGTGCCGCAGGAGGGGTGGCAGAGAGGCTCATCTAGCTTGTGAATTTTTTCCAGCACCATGAAAGGTTCCCTATCCCTTACGCAGATCACTGAAGAGGTTCAATGGAGCGTCACAGGCATTTGTGGAGTGCCCAATATGTTTGTGTTAAGAGTTGTGGAGAATAGGGTACTATAGCGGCTTCTTCAGTTTCTTCATTACTGTTCTCTAATGCCTCCCCCTGCCCCCACCAAGACCCCCTTTTGGACATTTTTTTCCTAACCATCCCCCCACGGATAAACTATTACATGGGTTTATGCACTGTACATATATCTGTGCTTCAGACTTATAAAATAGTAAGATTTCCCCCACCCTAAGAGCCAGTTTTTGTCCCCACAGGGGAGCTAAGGTAAGGTCCCATCGACGGCACGAATCTTTGATAGCAGTCTTGGAGATTCCTGGTCAGAAGGATATACAAACATTACTAGGAGACCTGAGCGTATTTCCATCCTTGGGCTTTGCTGCCTAAGCTGACTAGGATCCCGACTAAAGTCCTGTGGGTTGAGTGAAGATCCCAAAAAGAACATACAGCCACCTTCCTCCAGTTTGCTAGGAAAGTCGTATCGTAGCTCTAGGAGAGGGCATAGCGGGGTGATCCTGACTGCCGGCCCACCCCGCCTGCGGGAGAGTGAAGTTGGCTTGACATCCTCCTCTGTCAGGTATGTCGCTAAATGTATGTGGTCCATGGGTTATGAAAACTGAGCGGAGGACAGTAGGTAATGGAAACCTACCTCTGCTGTTCTGAACTTTCAGTGTCACAAGTCATAGTGGCCTTGATCTCGGTGTTTTATGCCTTTTCCCTCTTTTTGTTATTCACCACACAGGAAGCATCCAGGATGCGGGAACATCGTGACATTTGCACAGTTCTTATTTATTGCCGTGGAAGGCTTCCTCTTTGAAGCTGATTTGGGGAGGAAGCGGCCAGCTATCCCAATAAGGTATGGTACATTGGAGTCTCTTTCAGCCTTTTTCTTTTTCTTTTTTTTCCTTTTTAAAGTTAAGAGCTTTTCTGGTACTCATATAAAAGGAATATGAGACATCCTTTTATAAGATTCATGTCAAATATATCAGTAGGGTAATAATTTATTTTCTGAATGGAATATGTTGTGAAACTCCAGGAAGCCTATATTTTAGAATAAAATTCCTGCCACAACACTTCCGATAACTGTGATGGAGACAACAATGTAGACATGTGTGAGTGTGTGCGGTGTGTGTGTCTGCCCGGCTGTGTGGTATATGGCCATTTAAAGGCCTAGTGTCATAGCCAATTTCCTAAAAGAGTTATGTTCGCTATCCTTGTGTTACCGCATATGGTAAGAGTGGTACCGTCATTCCTTTTAAAAAACAAACAGCTTTTGGAAATAGAGGTGGTAGTTACATAATACTGTGAAAGTACTGAATGCCACTGAATTGTTCACTTTAAAATCGTTGATTTTATGTTGTGAATCTCACCTCAATGAAGAGAATGATTGGTCTTGGCTGGTGTGACTCGGTCGGGTGTTGCCAAGCAAAGTGAAAGGTCGCTGGTTCAATTCTCGCTCAGGGCACATGCCTGGGTTGTGGGTTCAGTCCCCTATCAGGGCATGTACCAGAGGCAGCCAATTGATGTTTCTTTCTTGCATCAATGTTTCTCTCTCTCTCCCTCCCTTCCCCTCTCTCTAAAACTAAAATCTTTTTTAAAAAGGAAAATGATTGGCAAACTAAAGCGAATTGTTGATTCTAGACTTCTGTCCATTAGTCCAAATTTGCATTACGGTCCTCATGGGGCCAAATAGAAAACAGCAGTTCTTACAATAAGCAACATATCAAAAAACCTTAGCATTCTTGTGATGAGAGACGTGAAATAAATACGTGACCGATCTGGTTGTGAGTATTCAGTAGGGTAGTGCCATTAACCCCTTTGAGGAGGACATTCTGGTGCCAATTCATACAGGGACTGGTTCGGGCTCGTCCTTGTTGGTGTTATTTTGCAACATTCCCAAGTAGCTTGCTATAGAAAAATCTAGCCGAATTTTGTTATTAATATTGTAGTTTTAAGTTCCCCACTGAGAGCTAAATATTCTGAGGCCTTTTTTGCTGTTTCTGATGGCTTTAGTGCTGCATCAAGCTTTTTGCTCTCAAGACCAGCATTTGCATCTCTCTTTCCGTTCTGGCTGCCAGCGTAGTTTGGAAGTCAGTTCACTCTCATCTTAACTTTTATCATGGCATCCTAGCTGGGTGGCCTCCTGCCCGTCACCTCCTCCTCGTCCCTTCATTCCAACATCCTGCCTTTGTGTCACACGTGGCGCCCTCCCTCGCAGGAGCCCAGGGGGTCCCCCGTAGGCTCCGAGCGAAGCCCAGACTCTGCAGCCCGCCCTTGGAGGCTCACTGTCCGCGTTTCCAGCAACCGTTCTCTGGGCCCCATTGGTGCTGGCTCGTTACTTCCCATTTGTGAGCCGTCATGAAAGTCTCGCTCATGTCATTCCTCCCCAGGCAGTGCTGTGTTGGCAGCAATGCGGACTCTAGTTGGATTTTATGGAATTAATTATCCTGAAAGACCTCGATGAACTCCCTTTATCTCTAAATGACATCTTTTCAAGACAGGACTAAGACAGTTTGGCAGGAAACCACGTGAAGTCACCTAGAGTATATGATTTAAATGCTGCAAAACAGCTCTCGCCAGTTGTTTTTCTGCACGTGTGACACTGGGTTCTGCACCGCCAGGGGAGATAACTTGGGACTCGGTGCGGCCGCCTCTTCAGGTGCGCAGGTGCGGAACGGGCGGGCTCTGTGGGCAGTGGCCGGCATGTGGGGGTCTCGGCATCGCGTCCTTGCCTTGGCCCTGTGTTCTCTAGCCATTTATCTTAAATGTTATTTTTCTCCTATTGACTGTATCAGGTCAAATCTAATGAAATTGCTGATAGTCGGCCCTTTTTGACCTACAAAAAATGGTAATTTTATGTGGCTGAATCTGATATGTATGAAGCCATCTTAATTTTATATGGTTTAACCTGGTATGTATGAGAGGCATCCTAAGTATTTTGTAGTTCAAAATGGGGGCATACAAAGGCAAAACTATTTAACTCATTTGTAGATTGTATTTATTCCTGTATCTTTCTAAGGTATTAAGGTTACTGGCTTTTTTAATGGTTTTTGTTTTGTTTTGTTTTTTTAATATAAAGACCTGTAACTATCAAACAACAGGGGCCCTGATTTCAAATTTACACAAGTTAAATGATGTCCTCATTAGTTTGGAGGCCCTTGGTTCAGAATGTGGAATAATTATTAGCAGTTGCTAGGCTGAAAGTAACCCTTGACTTAGCAAATCTTTTCTTTAGAAATAGTGAAAATTAATAGTACAAGCAAATGTATTGAAGAAATATTTGAGAGAATTAACCATTTTCAGGTTCTTTAGAGATACACAAAAATTATACCAAGAACTGATAATAAAAATTATTCCCTTTTTTATTTTTTAAAATTAAATTTATTGAGGTAGCATTGGTTAGTAACATGTAAATTTCCGGTGTACAACTTTATACTATGTCATCTGTAGACTCCATTGTGTGTTCACTACCCAAGTCTAGTCTCCTTCTGTCTCCATTTATGTGACCCCCTTTATGCTCTCTGTTCTCTCCCCTTCCCTGTCTTCTCTGGTGACCGCCGCTCTGTTGTCTGTATCTAAGAGTTTGCAGTGGGTTTTGTGTGTGCATTTTTTTCTTACATCCCACATAGGAGTGAAATCGTGTGGTTCTTGTCCTTTTTTGTCTGACTCATTTCACTTAGCATTAATACCCTCAGGAGGCATCTGCGTTGTCGCGGATGGCAGTACTTCATGCTCTCTTACGGCCGGGTAGCATTCCATTGTATATGTGCACCACGTCTTCTTTATCCAAGCGTTCATTTGTTGAAGGACACCGAGGCTCTTTCCACGTCTTGGCTATTGTGAATCATGCTGCAGTGAACATGGGGGTACATATAGCTTTACAAATAAGTGGTTTCCAACTTTTTACGTAGATACCCAGAAGAGGGATTGCTGGGTCCTGTGGTAGCTCTGTTCTTAATATTTTGAGAAACTGTTTTCCTCAAAATATTTTCCATACTGTTTAACACAGTGACTGCACCAGTCTGCGTTCCCAGCAGTGCACGAGGATTCCCTTTTCTCTACATTTTCTCCAACACTTATTTGTTGATTTATTGATGATAGCCATTCTGACAGGTATCAGGTGATATCGCGTTGTGGTTTCAATTTGCATTTCTCGGATGATTAGTAACGTTGAGCATCTTTTTATGTCTGTTGTCCACTGTATGTCATCTTTAGAGAAATGTCTGTTCAGGTCCTCTGGATGGTTTGTTTTTTTTGTTGTTGAGTATAGAAGATTTTTAAAATTTTGGGTATTGGCCCCTAATCAGAGGTATCGTTTGCAAATATCTTCCCCCATTCGGTTGGTTGCCTTTTTGTAGTTGATGGTTTCTTTTGGTGTGCAGTGAGCAGCTTTTTAGTTTGGTGCGCCTGTTCATTTATTTGTACTTTTATTTCCCATACCTTTGGGGTCAGGTTCACAAAATCCCCTCTGAGACCAAAGTCCAATAATTTTAAAATGTGCCTACATTTTCTTCAATGTATTGTGTCAGGTCTTATATTCAGGTTCTTAATCCATTTTGAGTTAATTTTTTTGTGTATGGTGTCATATAGCAGTGTAGTTTCATTCCTTTGCATGTGGCTTTCCAGTATTTCCAACACCTTTTATTGAAAAGACTTTCCTTTCTTCCCTGTATGTTTTTCTCTTTTGTTGAAAATTAGTTGCCTGTGTCTGTGTGAGCTTATTTCTGGGCTCTAAATTCTGTTTCTTTGGTCTTTGGTCTGTATGCCTGTTTTTCTGCCAGTAGTCTACTGTCTTGATTATTTTAGTTTTGTAGTATAATTTTAAGGCAGAGGTGACCCCTCTGGTTTTGTTCTTTTTTCTTATGATTGCTTTGGCTCTTCAGGGTCTTTTGTGGTTCCATGCAAATTTGAGGGGTTTTTTGTTCTATTTCGATGAAAAATGCAACTGGGCCCTGGCCGGGGAGCTCAGTTGGTTGGAGTGTCATCCCTGCACACTGAAAGGTTTTGAGTTTGATTCCCAATCAGGGCACATACCTAGGTCGTGGGTTCGATCCCCGGTTGGGGTGCAAATGGGAGGCAGCCAGTCGATCTTTCTTTTGTCCTGTCGCTCCCTCCCTCTCCCCCTCTCCCTCTCTCCGTCTCTCCCTCGCCTTCTGTCTTCCTACCTCCCTCCATCCCTCCCTCTCTCCGTCCCTCAGTCTCTCAAGTCAATGGACATATCCTCAGGTGGTGATTAAAAAGAATTAGAAAATGAAAAATACCATTGGGCTTTTGATGAGGGTTGTGTTAAATCTGTATATTGCTTAGGTAATGTGGCCATTTTAATAGTGTTAATTCTTCCAGTCCATGATCACAGAATATCTTTCTATTTCTTCATGTCTTCAGTGTCTTTCACCTGTGTCTGGAGTTCTCACGGTACAGGTCCTTTTTGTTGCAGTTGTAAATGGGATTTTTTTTCCTTTTCTGATAATTTTGCTGCTAGTGTATAAGGATGCAGTGGAGTTTTGTGTATTGATTTTTGTATCCTGTAACTTTACTGTATTTGTCACTGTGTCTGGTAGTCTTTTGGTGAAGTCTTCAGGGTTTTCTATATATAGAGCCATGTTGTCTGGAAATAGTGACAGCTTTAGTTCTTTATTTCTAATTTGGATGCCTTTTATTTCTTTTTTTCCCTAATTGCTCTGGCTAGGACTGCCAGTACTATGTTGAATAGTATCCTTGTCTTGTTCTTGATCTTGGAGGAAAAGCTTTCAGTTTTCACCATTTGAGTATGATGTTAGCTGAGTGTCATTTATGGCCTTTTATTATGTTGCGGTACTTTTCTTCTATGCTTATTTTATTGAGTATTTTAATATA